AGAACACAGACAACAGTAACATACACCAAAAAAAACCTTAAAAAGAAATATTTTTTTTCTAAAATTCATCACAAAAAAATATTTTTACAAAAAAAATAAAACATTAAAAACAATACAACAAGCTCACCAAAAATATATAACATTAAAAAGAAAGAAATATTTTTTTCTCATATTCATCACAAAAAAACATATTTTTGTAAAAAAAATATAAACATCAAAAACAATCCAATACGCTCACCAAAAATATATAAAATTTAAAAAAAAGAATATATTCTTTTTTTCTCATATTCATCACAAATAACATATTTTTATAAAAACAAAACGTAGTTTCATTAAAAACAATTTTTTTTTTTTTTAAGAACCCTAAAATCGAGCCAAAGAACACATAAACTTAAGAATCAAAATCAACCCCAAATCTTTCATTTTTTGAACAAATTGACATGGGGATATGATAGATACTTCAATTAAGATTCAAATGCCCCAAATTTCATGAAGATTCATTCACTATTGAGATCTTTATTCAAAAAATTGCGGATTTTTCACTTCACGAAAATTTCAAGAAAAAAACGTAGCAAAAGAAAAATTGATATAAAAACATTTAATCAATAGTAAATCAAAATAACTAGTTTATTTGATAGATGAGGCCTTTATGATCAAACGTTCTGTGATCAATTCAATAAAAATCGATCAGAAATCAATTTGTTTGGATAAAAAACAGTTCTTCGAGCAATAGTACTTCGGGCCCAAAAAGCATCAACGCTTCACCGTTTTGGAAAAAATGGAAATATGTAAACGTTGAATACTTCAACAATGAATCAAAGCCCTCCATTTTTATGAAAATCTATGAGGTATTGAAACTGCATTTGATAAAATGGCAGAAATTTCTAATTTTCAAAAATCCCCATTTCAATCCGCTAAGAACTCTTTGTTTTTCGACTTTTGTTTCAATAATCGATGATTTATAGAAACTTTCTACAGTATAACATCAATAGTTGATCAAAAAAACAAAAAAAAAACCAGAAAATGGAATAAACAAAAGCTGCAAAATCTTGTTATGTAAAAAATAACGGGCATGTGTCAAATAACGGCTGTTATTTGATGCATTGAAAACAGCGTTATATCGGGT